TGTGCCTTGATAAATCATAATATTGCTGCACCAATGTGAAGCAATATTTGGGCATGTACTGTACATAGGTTACAGGTAATAAAATACTTTCATGTAGGGTGCTATCATTGACAGTTAATCATGGAACAATAACCTCAGAACTTAGAGGATTTACTGGGGTGCTTATTCCTGAGTTGTATATTAACTGTCAGACCCTTTGACCAATGAGATTAAACCTCTGTTCCCGCCAGAACAGAGGACCTTGGTGGAAACCATTATAGCTGAAGCTAGTATCTAACAGGATATGTTATGTGTATTTATGTGGCTAAATATGTATTTTGTAATTTATATCTAACCCTGATTTGGGCTTTAAGTTAATATACAACTCAGGAATAAGCACCCCAGTAAATCCTCTAAGTTCTGAGGTTATTGTTCCATGATTAACTGTCAATGATAGCACCCTACATGAAAGCATTTTATTACCTGTAACCTATGTACAGTACATGCCCAAATATTGCTTCACATTGGTGCAGCAATATTATGATTTATCAAGGCACATCATGTTGTTTTGGGGTCTCCTCCAACATGCCTAGAAGCCAAATGAGGCAGACAAAATAATGGAAAAGGAACAGAACACAATTGTGTTCTTGAACAAATCAGCTTTGAAGGAATATTTTGCTCTAAGCACTGTCTTTGAAAGTCTGCACAGCTTTATTAGTGTTATGCCATTTTATACATTACCCCAGCTACTCATAAATATAATATTCAAGTCTGGTTTAAAGCATTTTCCAAAATACATTTTAAAAATGGTAATAAAACACAAAATTTTAAGCTCAGGAGTTCAGGCTAAGCGAAGATATCATTTGTTTAAAAATGCCTGCGTGAAATTATGTGTATTCCTCAAAAACAATGGGGAGACCAATAACAGTGTAAGGAATTGTGGAAAATGATGCAATTGTAGCAAAAATAAGTATTTTTTACAACTCCCTCTTTCCAGAGAAAGTGAAGAACTATTAGATACTGCAGAACTGAAAGTCAATGTTTTGTTATGTTGTACATTTTAATTTTTTACTATTGTTATATTGGTAGAATTTACAAGAATATAAATTTGCATTTTTTAAATTCAGTTTGAAAATTCTGCACTGAAACTGATCTGTTGATAAATAGTTTTTTAAAATTATTATTATTTTACAGATAACACTGCCAGGATCTTTACTACAAGAAGTCGGTTCCATCATTCTGAACAATTTCTTTATCTCTTGCCCATACTAATTGTGGATAATGGAATCCCTGCTCTAACTGGCACCAGCACTTTAACGGTCACTGTGTGTGATTGTAATGAAGAAGTTAGCCTTTTGTCCTGTAGATATGGAGCGTTCCTGATTTCAATGGGGATTAGCGTACAAGCTTTAGTTGCTATTGTGGCTTGCCTACTTATAATATTAGGTAATTTCTTTCTTCTGTCTTATGCAAAATACATCTCTGCTACCTTTTCATTGATTAAACCAGGAGGGGGTCAAACTCAAGACCTTAAATCTGCTTCAATCTGGCCCATGGTGCCAGTCTGGAAATAGCAAAGGACCAGCCCGCAGTGCCTCTGAGATCCAAAATTGGGTATACGAGGCCACTTGTAGTCCCCATGTCCCATTTTCAGCCTGGATGGCCTTCTGCAGCACTTTGCCAGCCAAAACGGAACACCGGGGGGTGCTGCAGGAGTCCATCCAAGCTGAAAATGGGTCACAGGGACTGCCTGTGCCCTCCCATGCCCCTTTTGGCTGGCAGGGTGCTGCAGGTGGCATCCTTTTCATCTGTGCCCCCCACACCAGCTCACAGAGGAGAAGTACAATACTAATCCAGCCCTCAAAACAATCCAGTTTGATATCCCTGGATTAGACCATGGATTAGATTTATTTTGGTAAAACCATGGCTTGGATCCAGAACATAAGATGAATGAAACATTTGAGCTCTTCTGCCCTTGTTTTTCTTACCAGCCTCCAGTGGTCCCCTCCCAACCCCCCAACCCTCCCCCCACCTGTGGAGAATAACATGGTAGCTGTAGCACTGGAATGAAGACAGAAGGGGAAAAAATGTTGAAAACTGGTGTAGAAAGATAGATTTTGCCCAAAACACTCCACAATGACCTTGGTTGGATTTTCTCAGTGTGACCTCTTTGCTCATCTCTTCCCCAAGCTAACTCATAATGTTTACCACTGTCCACAGTCCATTAAAGCTCATTTCGGTGGACACTGAGGGGGTGGTCAGAAGGGGGGAAAAAAGAAATGGAAAGTCAGTTTTAACCTCCTCTGTTCTACAGAAGGATATCTAGCTCCAACATAATGTATCAATTATGTTTAGACATTTTCATCAGTCACACTATTTAATCTAAACATCTGTTTGCACATTACTTAGATTATCAGTTGACACCTAAAAATATGACCTCATTCCATCACAGACATAATTTAACTAACGGCATAGCTGGCTAGGATTTGCATGTTTGTTCTTTGCAGACTTCTCAAATATTTGTTAATCTTTTTTTCCCTGTTTTGTTTGCTTGCTTGGCAGTATTTGTTTTAGCAGTTGTGGCTTTGAAACACCAAACAAAGCCAGCAGCATTTCACGAGAAAGGAGAAATATTCAGAGAGAATATTTTCAAGTATGATGATGAAGGAGGGGGAGAACAGGACACTGAAGCTTTTGATATTTCGGCACTGAGACCACAAACTGTTCTGCGACCTCACAAGCCACGAAGAAATATTACAACAGAAATCCAGAGCCTTTACAGGCAATCTCTTCAAGTTGGTCCAGAAAGTGCAATATTCCGGGAATTCATTAATCAAAAGCTAGAAGAAGCCAATTGTGATCCAGATGTTCCTCCTTATGATTCCCTCCAGATTTTTGCTTTTGAAGGAACAGGTTCATTGGCTGGGTCCCTTAGTTCATTGGAATCAAACTCAGTAGGATCATTTATGAATGACCATTATGATTACCTTGTTGAACTAAGACCTCAAATCAAAAGTCCAGGAAGCATGAATGGTCACAGTTCAGCAGAATGGTTAAGTGTTAAGAAGTGCTAATATCAAACAAGCGGGAAAGAATTGGAAGGGTGATTAGGATAATCTGAAAAAATCAGAAGACAGAGAAATTGATGGCTGTGCCAAGTACTGTTAAACTCAGCACAAATCTTATTGTTGACACATCCTTTTCTAATACACACTATCACAACTGGAAAAAAAATGTCAGCACATGGGAATAAGAGATCAGCCACACACATTCTTAAAAAGAAGATTCTGAAATAAATAACAAATTGTGCTACTCTCAGATTATCTTTTGGGTCTTAGCAGGCACAAGTATATTTTATTTTGCAAATACCATATTAAAACCAGGAGCAGAATCTATATTTTCTAAGAAAGTTTTCAGCAAAAGAAAGACATTAGAGTGCAGAATTTTAATTTTTGAACTATTTACAAAACTTTACATATATTGACTACAGTTTAATTATTATCATAGTAAACTAATATATGCACACACACTTTGTTTGAAAATATAAATGCAAATTATATGGAATTATATATGAATGAATTTAGAAAAATGAAAAATAATGTGGGTGAACTAGAAACCTGGAGGAAGATCAAAATAATATGTGTTTTCCATTATCAGGTATAGGTAAATCCCCAGATCAAACTTCCTATATTTTCCTACAGTTTTCTTAAATCTCACAGCTTTTTCCCCCCAGATAAATTAACCAGTTTGCTATTACAAATAACTTAGCATTTGATTGTTGCTTATGTTTCTACATATTTTTTAGAATATAAATTATTTTATTTCCTAAAACACATTAGAATAAAAATGTGGATTGTTAATAAATTTTGTGGAATCACTGTACTAGAATTATTGTTTGAACAGTTGCAAGATATTTGAATTTGTGATTCAAGAATCAAGTAAAAGAAGTTATTCTACTTTACATATTTGATTAAATTTTAAAACATTGATCATGGAGTATGATGGGAAAATATTAAAATATTTGTGACTGCTACTCCTGGGGAAGTGGGATGAAAATAGCAAAAAAAATGTATATAGGATATTAACCAAAGTGTTATTTACATAGCTTCAAGAATTCCACCACAATCTAATTTTAAAATATTCTTTGCATTTCTGTTAAGGCAGCAATAGTTTTAGAGAAAAAAGACTAAAGCAGTCTTTAGATTGCCAGATGACAGCATACAGTGAACTGTATCAAACCACTGCAGAAAATTGAAGGAAGGAAGGAAGGAAGGAAGGAAGGAGACAGGGAGGGAAATAAAAAGAAAGAGAGAGGGAGGGGGAAGGAAATGAGGAAGGAGGGAGGGAAGGAAGGAAGGAAGGAAGGAAGAAGGAAAGAAAAAATAAAAAAGAAAGAAAAAGAAAGAGAAAGAAAGAAAGAAAGAAAGAAAGAAAGAAAGAAAGAAAGAAAGAAAGAAAGAAAGAAAGAAAGAA